TCCAGCACTCCCGCCGTTGACCACCACCTCCTCGGCCCTTGTCCCGCGGCGACCTCTTATCGTCGCCGTCCTTCGTCGACCGCCCACCTCCGCTTCCACCTCCGCCCGGCTTCCCGCGCTGCCCCTGCTGACGACTCTGCTTCATCGGTGCAGCGTAACTCGCCTGCGGAAGGAGCTCCGTAGGTTGCTCTGCCTCCTGCATAGCCTCGTCTTGAAGGACGTAGCTGGTGATGGAGTCCTCATCGAGGGACTCACGCGTGCCGGGCACCATCATCATCCTCTTCATGAGGTTGTAGCTGCGCGGCAGGCCCTTGACGACGTGAGTGATGAAGGACGACGTAGAGTATTCGTCGCCCGCCATCCGCATCTCAGCCAGGATCCGTCGAGCACGGTTGCAGTAGTCCGTCGCCGACTCCTGCTTGCCCATCCAAAGGTGTGTTATCTGCTCCTCCAGCTGTCCGATGTACAGGTCGTCCTTCGCCTGGTACGTCGACAGGATGAAGTGCCATGCTTGGTGACCAGCATCCAGTCGCTCTCAACAGGACCTGAGCGCTAGCTGCACCACCGGCGATCAACACCTCGAGATGACCATGAAGGTGAGCAAGTGAGCAGCACAAAACTCCCCGTGCATCTCGACATTGTCCACGGGCGGAATTGGCACGGTGCCGTCGGCAAAGCCCTTCAGCCCGGCGACCTCCAGCTGAGGTTCTATCGACTCCCTCCAGGTGATGAGGTCCCGTCGACCGTGCAGCGGTGTGACGGTGATCCTGTCCGGCGAAAACTTGAAGTAGCCATGCGCCGGTGCGATACCGCCCGCCGTCACGTGCGTCGTCGCCGAGAGCCCTCCACCGCTTCGTAGAGGAGAGCGAAGTCGCCCATCGACTTCGACCCGCGAGCTACCTGTGGCTGCCATCGACCGCTGCACTCGCGCCTGACTCCCGTCGACGCCACCGTCGACCTTAATCACCCCTCTCTTCTTCGTGCCTTCGCTACCGCTGACTCATGCACCGCCGTCGACCTCGTCGTCGACGCCACCTTCGTTTCGTACCGGTCGAGGAGATGCAGGACGGGAAGGGTGCTCCGTCGCCCACTGCGCCCGGATGCCAAACTCGACGATCGCCAAGGGGACCTTCCCATACTCGCCATTCTCAATGTGATTCCGCGCATCAGCCAAACGTGCCTCCAAGGTGTCCGCTACGCCCGCTTCTACAACGGGGTCGACCATGGCGACTAACGCGGCTGCCGGCCTACGAACGACTTAGTAGGTGCAAAAGTTGGCTCCTATCTGAAGGTCGCGTGTTCGATCCACGCTCACCGCACGATGCGGAGAGTCACTCTACAACAGTCGTGAGCTAGACCACGGGGTGTTGGCACGAACTTCTAGGAGTGATCGTAGCTTTGCGTAGTTCCTTAGCACTTGCACATTCACGGGAGAAATTGGCAAGAGTTTCCACTAGGCAAAGGTTGCATTACAGAATGATTGCAATAAGCAATGACAGAACGACTACATCAGGCACCTAGCAACTCTGCAGCTAGCCTGGTCGACCGCCAGCACTGCTTGGTCGACCGCCTGCCAGCGTTGCATAGAGGAGCCGCGCCAGCACTGCAGAAGAGCGACTTGCCAACACAGCAGGTCGACGGCGTGCCAACGCTGCAGCAGAGCGGCTGTCCAGCGTTGCACCCGTAGAACACAGCAGTGCGCACGCACGCAGGTGCGCGCAGACGATTGGCCCGACTTGCATCGTTGTGCATCCGTCGGCTGTTGTCTGCGCCTGACGAGTCACATCGACTTCGGGATACCAGCCCGAAGTCGCCTTCGTCACCGCGACCTTGACGACGTTCGCGTGCCTTCGCAGAACCTCGTCACCTAGGTGACTTGGTCGACTCGGATACCACCAGGTCGGCGTCGACTTCCTTGGGGATAGTCGACTGAATGTTGTACGCGCTCGTCAACCACCCAATGCTCCGGTCGACGACTCCCTTGTCGAGCACAGCTCCCGTCGAGCAACACCCTGGTCGACGGACCCCTCCGTCGACCAGCACTGTCGGCTGCTGTCGCCGAGCTCCCCTCGTCGACTGCCGCTCACATGTCAGGTCGACGGACTGCTCCGTCGACCTCCCCGTCGAACTGCTCCTCCTGGTCGACGGCCCGCCCGTCGACCAGCCCAGTCAGCTGCAGCTGTCGAGCTCCCTGGTCGACGGCTCCAGCCCCGTGACAAACTTGTGCAGGTCGACGACCACTTCGTCGTCCTGCCCCGTAGTAGAAGGTCGTCGAACCCCCCTGGTCGACGGCTCCACTGCAGCGAGCTCCTGCATCTCGACATAGCCCGTCGAGCATCTCCCTCACTGCGTTAGGTCGATTGTTTCTCCCGTACATCCGATCAGGACGTCGGAGTCGCCCAAGCGAGGGCGGGGCCAACACTCCATTCCCGTTAACAACCCACCCATCGTCGGGAGTGGTTTCGCGAAGAAGTGTTGGTTTGTGTTGCGAAATGAAGGTTCTCTGGTGAGTCTCGTTTTGACTCAACTTCGGCTTCAGATTTGTAAGCCAATCAGACAGGCCCTTTTTCCCTCGACTGCAAAACACTTGGTCTACTTCCACGTCGACCAGGTGCTGCACCATGTGCCCGTCGACTACTCCCCCAGGTCGCCAGCTTCACCAAGTCCGCTACCAGAGGTCGGCGTCCCCAAGTCGACGCCTTCCAGCTCGGCGCCACCAAGTCGGCGCCTCTTCCCCGGTCGACGAACCCCATCGTCGACCTGCGCGCCTAAGTCGGCGTCGCCCACTGCTGTTGTTCGGCTGCACCTCCCGTACACCCGACCACGAAGTCGGCTCCGCCCAAGCGAGGACGGGGCCAACACACAACTCCCGTTGACAAAGGTTAGGATCTCCTTATAGCTCTGAATACCAATGTAACGTATCTGCTACTAGAAAGGGCATTTACCCATAAAACAATAAGCTTGTAGTACAAATCAGAGAGTTGTAGCACAAGTGTGGAGAGTGCTAGAGGAACCAGTAACAAACAGTGGAGGAGAACTAGAGCAATAGCTATCCCTTTTCCAACTTGAGTTGTTGGGGAAAGGAAATGGAGAATGGGCTTGAAAGGCTCAGACCCCTTCCTACTACCCCTTGGGGTGAAACCCCCTTCCCCATGGCAAGGAGGGGTGCACCTCCATGGGCTTTGCCCATGTGGCAATAATTGAGATTCTCAACCAATTGTATTTCAGACAGCATGGATAAACAAAGCATAGTTATCACAAACCTGTGTTTGATGTTATTGGTTGCATTTGCATTGAGCGGCGGAAATGTTCTCGACTCACTTTGGGGCTGCTTTCTGATTGGCTAGACAGGGGTTGTATTGAAATTACGTGGATTGTGTTTGAACCAACTCAAACCAATCGCGTAGGTTCTATTTTGCAGCAATGTTTTGATTGGTTGGTTTTCAACCAAGCGAATTCCAACCCAAGTATCGCTTCCATTCAATTTTCAACCAATCATGTATCCCCCCGTTTCCCCCTCACAGTTGGTTCGGTGTATCGAGATTAGGGGGGTTGGGTAGGGATGTTACAGGGGCAAAGCCACGTGCGCACGACCAGGGCCTTGGCGTGCATGGCAGTGAAGGACGAAGGGCTGAGGGGCGAACGGGGGAATGGTGGGTCCTCGGGCTATTGGTGGCGGGCCATGAGCTGCGCGCATGAGGTGCGCGTATAAGCTGCGTGCGTGAGCTGCGCGCAAGACACCTCACGCTACTAGTCACTGCGTGTTCGCGTCGTCCACCTCCCCGTTACAGCACGTACATGGTGGCGCCGGCGACGGCACGCACCTGGTGTCGTTTGCTACCGTAAATGACGACGCCGCACTCGCTGCAATGAATACGGCCGTCGCTTGGCGACCCGCATACGTAGCACTGCCACCTCCGATGAGTCATCGCGAGCGCTACTCAGAATAAACGACAGCGCAGCACCGTAAAAGCGGTCGCAACATACCATCATGGAAAACCTCATAAGCCATCCAGTCGCCGTGACTGCCGCAAGAACCATGCGAATATTCAATGGCACGGAAACCTGCACCGATGTTAATCCAAGTGACACTGGGTTTCCTCTGAGTGCATCCCTCGTGCGTTACTGAGTGCGAAATATGCTATTGAGACGTCAAGGGTACGGATCGGGTGACAGTTGGGTATCGATGTAGCTAGATGAAAATCTACAAAGAAACTAGTTGGACTCAGCGGAACAGATATTATGGTTACAGCGTTCGCCAAGAAACAGCACAACTAGGTTTTCTGTGACGACCAGTCCTCCGTTACCCTTTCCATACGTAATTCGCGAAAAGCCCGCTGTTCTTGTGTGTGCGAGGTGCACGACCGCTACACCAACAATGAAAGAGGTCGGATAGAGTGAGCTGTGTTGTATGACCTTCCGCCTGTGTCTTGTTTCAAATCTGCGACGACATTGGAAGTTCGCACACCCATCACATGCCACCGACCAGGGTTTGCTTTCCGAGTCGCGTGTCGTCCTAACGGAGCTCCAGGGTTTGCAGCGGGCAGCTGAAGGACAGTTGGGCTGAACCTCAGGGCACAAAAGTTTCTAGATTTGTAACACAAACAACAGTAATCTATTACGATACCCGCAGTGAGAACATGAATTTGGCACAAATTGGCATCAGGGCCTGACCGTGAACAGTGGTGCAGTGCAGTCTTGCTTGCAAAGCGTGTTTCACAAGGAAGTCACAGTGCAAAGTACGACCGTTCACCCCGTCAGTTCAGTTGCATTGCAAGAGACCTTGTTTTCGGCTTGACAAATTCGGCGTTCCACCCAACCCTACATAAAATGCCTAATTCTATGCGTGCAGCTCACTCAAGCAAAGCCAACTAGAGGTAATCTTGGACTAAAATTCAGAGCAACGAGCAGCCTTACTAGCTTTTACACGCAGTAGTCGCTGGCAATATTCGTCGTCGTCGCACGGAACATTGCATTGGAGGTTATCGTAGGCCGCCGCAATGGTCGCCGTAGAACGCGGAGAGTTCGACGACGCCGTGCCGTCGTCGCTGCAGCGCCTGTGTCTGCGGGCAGCCGTCGGCAGCGCCACGTGGCAGCGCCAGCCGCGGTCGATGGAGCGCCTGCCGTCCCCGCTGGCGTCGGCGCTGCTGGCGGAGCTGCTCGCCGCGGGACGCGTCACGCCGCCGCTGCTCGAGTACGCTGTGAGGCTCTGCGAGGCTGTGAGGCCGCGAGGCTGCGAGGCTGCGAGCCTCTTTGCACGCTCACATAGTAACCGTTCATTCCCTCCCCTCCCCTCCTCCGCGCCGCCTTTGCTCGAGTACGCTGTGAGGTTGCAAGCTGCGAGACCCTCTGCGCCTACGCCGCTCATTCCTCCCCTCGTAGCCTTTTCCGCGAGGCCTCGCTCTCTGCCGACGCACAAGCCCATTCCTCCCCTCCAAGTCGTCTCCTCCCTCATATCCCCACGTCTCGTCCCATCCCCCCACCCCTCCTCACAGGCTGTTTGCCCCCTCAGCGGACCTCGTGGACCTCTCCTGCCCGCCGCTCGCCGCGCCTGCCGTCTCCCACACGCCAGCAGCGCTGCAGGCCCCCCACGCGCTCCTTCACCCTCCCCCCCACACCACGCCCACGTCTCCAGCCACTCCTCCATTCTCGCCCTCGCTCTCCTCATTCTCATACGCGCCGCCTTCCTCCTATTACGGCATTCCAAACCCGTCAGAAGCCCTCTCCCCCTCGCCTCCTATCTATGCCATGCCCCCCGGCCAATCCATTGACGCCACGTGGCTTGCCTACCTGGCAGACTTCCGCTGCCTTCGATCGCTCCGGCTTGACAACTGTCGACACGTCACCGACTCTGCTCTCAGCATGCTCTCAGGTATCCCAGACTCAGGTGCTCCCTCAGATGCTCCCTCAGGTGCTTCCTCAGGCGCTCTCTCAGGTGGTCTTCCAGGATCTCCGTCAGGTGCTCTCTCAGCTGCATGCTCTCAGGTGCATCACCATGTTTTGTCTTATTGCGACTTCCTTACTTTCTCACACCCGCATCCCCCCCATCCCGCTCGTCCCCCCCATCCCTCCAGTCTCCCGATCCCACCATTCCACATAGCACCAATTGCCCTCCCTCCTTTCCAACCCTGCTCCCCCACTCCCCACCACCAGCACTGCACGCGTTGGAGCATCTGAGCCTCACCAACTGCCCTCTCCTCACCGCCGCATCTCTCACCACCATCCTCCCCCGTTGCCTGCCTGCCCTGCACTCCTGCTGCCTCTCCGGCACCGCTGTTGGCATGGGCGAGGGAGGGAGGTTTGGAGCGTTGTAGCCTCACCAACTGCCCTCTCCTAATGGCGCCCTCATTCTTTTTTCCATGCTCTCGTCCTCCTTACCCCACTACCCCTCCCACCCGCGTCCCCCCACCCCCCCAACCCCCTCCTCCCAGCACTGCATGCCTTGGAGCATCTGAGCCTCACCAACTGCCCTCTCCTCACCGCCACCTCTCTCGCCGCCATCCTGCCGCCCTGCCTGCCCGCCCTGCGCTCCTGCTGCCTCTCCGGTACCGCTGTTGGCATGGGCGATGGAGGGAGGATTGGAGCGTCAGATCCTCACCAAGTGCCCTCTCCTAATGGCGCTCTCATTCCTTTTCCCATGCTCTCGTCCTCCTTACCCCACTCCCGCTCCCAACCCCGTCCCACCCCCTCCTCCTAGCACTGCACGCCTTGGAGCATCTGAGTCTCACCAACTGCCCTCTCGTCACCGCCACATCTCTCACCGCCATCCTCCCCCATTGCCTGCCCGCCCTGCGCTCCTGCTGCCTCTCCGGCACGGCCGTTGGCATGGGCGAGGGAGGGGCGGGAGGAAAGGGGGGCAGCGAGGAATGGGGCGTGGCAGTGAAGGGCAGGCGGAGAAGCAAGGGCAGCAGGACGAGTGGCGGTGTTGGTGGTGGCGGCAGCATGGCAGCACCTGCTGCGTTCAACACACCATCTCCCTCCTCCAACTCTCCACCTGCTGTTTCCAGTGCAGCAGATAGCTCAGCCTGTGTGCCAGCAGCAGCCCCGTCTGTGATCTCTCTGCTCGCCCTTGCTCCTCACCTCACGCACCTGGAGCTGGGAGGCATGCACCATGCGCTGGATGATAGTGCCTTTCAGAAACTCACGGTGGGTACGAATGTGCCTCGTGCTAATAGCCATGTGCCATGCTCCCACTCTCCCGCATCCCTTGAGCATGACCCTCACCTTCATCACCTGGAGCTTGGTGGTATGCACCACGCGCTGAATGTTAGTGCCTTTGGAAACTCACGGTGGGTGGGGATGCGCCATGCGCCATCCTCCCAATATGCCTCATCCTTCAAGCAGTCGCCCATACTTGTCTCGCCCCTTCCACGCAGCTACCCCCCCACCCTCATCTTCTCTACCCGCCCCCCCTCCCTCCTCCAGTCGTTGGTGCATCTGCGCCATCTGTCTGTGTGGGGCAGCAGCATCACCAACGCCTCAGCGCCACTGCTCCTCTTTCCCCATTCCCACTGTCCTCTTTCCACCCCCGCCCTCCCCACTTCCTCCCACCCCCCCAGTCGCTGGTTCACTTGCGCCATCTGTCAGTGTGGGGCAGCAGCATCACCAACGCCTCTGCCCCTCGCCTCCTCGCCTTCCCCCGCCTGCTCTCCGCCAACCTCGCCTGGACTGCCCTCTCCCACCTCCCCGCCCACCCCTCCCTCACCGCCCTCCACCTCTCCCACTGCCCCCTCCTTTCCATCGGCTTCCCTCTCCCCTCCTCCCCTTCCTCCTCCCTAACCTCCTCCCCCTCCTCCGCTCCCTCCTCCCCACTCACTCATCTCGTTCTCTCTGGTGCATCCATTGCTCCTCCCTCCTCCCTCTTCTCTCCTCACCTCCTCGCCTCCCTCACTCACCTCGACCTCTCCCACTCACGTGGCGCCACACTCCCTCCTCCTCCGCACCACCCTCCACCGCACTCCACTCCTCCCATACGCCCTCACACCCCTCCCTGCGGACTGCAGTGGCTTCAAGCAGCGCTCTCTCTCACACACCTCGACCTCTCCACTGCTGCTGTCTCTGACTCTCTTCTGCTGCACCTCGCACACTCTCTCGCCCACACGGTCTATCAGCTCCTACCCATCCCTAAACTTTCCCCTTCTCTCTCTCTCTCCTCGTCCCTACTTTCTCCCCTGCACTCTCCGCATCCCTACTTTCTCTCCTGCTCTCTCCTCATCCCTACTCTCCCCCCTGCTCTCTCCCCATCTCTGCTCTCTCCCTATCCCTGCTCTCTTCTCTCCTCTGCTCCACTCTCCCTCTGCCCACCACGCATTTCTAATGCTAAAATTTGCAAGTCAAGTCTTTCCTATTTGTCAGTTCCATCTTTATCTGCTTGGCTGTGCTTTCAGCGTCCGTGTGTGTGCTGCGCCAGACTGAATCCGCATGTGCTCCTTCTTTCCCCCATTCACAGTCCATGCCACAAGGCATCACCACGCTTGACGCACCAGGAATAACCACCATCAGCACTACCACCGCCAACACTACCAGCAGCAACAGCAACAACAGCAGCAGCACCACCCCCTCTGTCCGCCACGCCTTCCCCTGGCAGCACCTGTCACTCGCCTCCTCACCCGACCTCTCCTCCAGGGGGCTGGCCGCGCTGCTGCCCCTCACCCCGTGCCTCACCTCGCTCTCCCTCGCCCACACCGCTGCCTCCAACTCCTGCCTGCCCCTCCTCGCCTCTCTGCCGCTCCTCTCCTCCCTCTGCCTCGACGGATGCCCCATCTCAGGTGCGCCATGTGCAGTGCAGTACCTGCTTTTAGACTATTTTGTACATCGATTCGCATTCTATGGATCTGCCTATTTTAATGTGGTGTTGGTATATCCCGCCCTAGTTGAGTCGTGGTGTAGTATTGCACACAACACCTGTGGTGGTTACACGTTGATCATAGAATGCATGCCTGCATACCTGCGCGTGCAGGTGGCACATCGGATGACAACTTGGAGGATGGCGAGGAGGAGGAGGACGAGGAGGAATTTCTTCTGAGGCACCACCTTGCACACCTGCACTCACCAGCTACAGTACCACAACCAGTAGCAGCTGGAGGAGCGGATGGTGGTATTGGTGGTGCTGCTGGTGCTGCTGGTGGTGCATACGCTGCTATCTCACAGGCATTGGCGAGTCAACCAGCAATAGCGGAGGGAGGGTTGGCCCTGCTGGCCTCGCTGCCACACCTCACCTCTCTCAGCCTACAAAACGTGCCGCTGTCCACACGCGGCATGCTGCGTCTGCGCCATCTCACTCGCCTGCACCACCTCTCCCTCTCCTCCTCTGCTCTCAGCCCCCGCCGCTTCCTCTCCCTCCTCGGTAACCCCCCACCCCCTTCCCCACCTTTCTCTTCACCAACCCCGATTTACCCCCCTCGATTAAAGCCTTTGTATTGTGCAATCAGCCTCCCTATATTCATCTCGATCTCTTCTTTTTCATCTCTCATTCTTCTCTCGTACTTTCCTCATTATTTGCTCATTATTCGCTGATTCTCCTCTCATTTCTCTCTCATTTTTTCCTCATTCTTTGCTCGTTCGTCGCTCATTTTGAGTGCTCTTTCACGCTCTTCTGGATGCTCTATGTTCTCTCCCCTTCCCCCCTCGCCCATTTGACAGCTTTTTGTCCATGCCATCACCTGTGCCTCTCCTCACTGCACATCACCGCTCACCACCTCTCCTCCCTCCGCCTGCACCCCACAGTCCGCCTCCTCGACTCCTCCCTCCTCCCCTCCCTCTCTGCCCCACACGCTACGGCTCTTGCCAATCAGCTGGCGCCACGTGTCACTGTGCTGCATGCGTTTGATAGCTCTAGCTGCCCAGGGGAGTTGATGCTGCAGCAGCGGGGAGAGGACAGGAAGGGAGGGTGCAGGGGGGGGAAGCAAGAGAGGAGGGGGAGAGAGGGGGGCATGGAGAGCAAACAGGAGGGAGGAGGGGTGGAGGGAGAGGAGGGGAGTGAGGGGCAGCAGGTGGAAGGAGGGCAGATGGGGAAAGGGTCAGATGGCAGTGATGGGGAGAAGGAGCAGAGGGGGAAGGCTGGGATGGGTGAGATTCGGGCATGTGGTGCGATGGGCAGATGGACAGCAGGGGGCAGATGTAAAGCAGATGAGAGGCGCAAATTCACCCCATCTGAGCTCAAGTCGTTGCGAGGTGCTGCCCAAGCGCTGCAGCTCCATGTGCCGCTGCCACCGCAGCTAACCGGCACATGGTAAGCTTAGAGAAGATGTACCGTATAACCCCGGATATAGGCGCCGTCCGATTAAAGGCGCCGGCGCTTCTATCTGGAGCATGGCGCTTATGGCCGATACTCGATTATAAGCGCACCCTCTGTGGAGCCTGTACTTATTATAGGCGCATCCCATTAATATTTTCTGCTGTTCACATTAAAAAAAGTAACAATTAACATTTTGTTCACTATACTGATAAATCTTGCACAGACATTTTCAACAATTTCACAACTATCTAAGGGTACGTTCTTGGCCCATGTCAAACTTCGGGCCAGGCTGGTTGATACGAGGTGGAATTGACGGGCAGGAGGCAAAATTTACGAATTGTGTCAGACCTCCCTGGAGGGGCCTGACACCAGGAAAACTTGGCCTGAAGCTTGACATGGGCCAAGAACGTACCCTAAATACTCATGTCGTACTTCTTCCTTTCTACCATGCAACTACAGTAGCTACTCCTCCTCGTCAGACTCGGGCTCTTGGCGGTTGTTGCCAAAGAAGCCATCGGCGATTATGTCATCATCGACATCAACTTCCGCGGTCAGCTGGCTCCGCCTGTGCTTCATGGCGAGCCCGTCCTCACTGCCGTCAAGCGCGTTGCTAATGCCGCAGGTGAGGGAGGCGCGCTTGACGAGGTCGGCGGGCACTTGTCAGAACATTATAGCTCATGCATATTGTGTAGGCTATAGTGGGGTAGTCCATAAGGGGTACAACCCAATTAGGGTTAGTACTTGTACCCAATTCATTCATAGTTCATTTCATTTCCTTGTTTCTTCTCATGGTATCGAGCAGGTTCCCCCGTGGGAACTGTTCCTAGGGCCCACCGTTTTTTTTTTTCCTGCCCGGAGCGCACTCAGCCCCTGCCCGAGTCGCGCTCCCCTCTCTCGCGCCGCCCTAGCGGCCCCTTCGCGCCGCCCTCGCGGCCCCCCTTCGAGCCGCCCTCGCGGCTCTATCCGCCGCCCTTCGCGGCCCCTACCCCGCCGCCCTCACGGCCCCGATCCGCCGCCCTCGCGGCCCCGATCCGCCGCCCTCGCGGCCCCGCTCTGCCGCCCTCGCGGCCCCGATCCGCTGCCCTTCGCGGCCCCGATCCGCCGCCCTCGCGGCCCCGCTCCGCCGCCCTCGCGGCCCCGATCCGCCGCCCTTCGCGGCCCCGATCCGCCGCCCTCGCGGCCCCTACTCCGCCGCCCTCGCGGCCCCGATTCGCCGCCCTCGCGGCCCCGATCTGCCGCCCTCGCGGCCCCTACTCCGCCGCACTCGCGGCCCCTACTCCGCCGCCCTCGCGGCCCCGATCTGCCGCCCTCGCGGCCCCGATCCGCCGCCCTAGCGGCCTCCGGCCCCTGCTCCTACGGCCCCGGCGCCTGCTCCTACGGCCCCCGCTCCTACTCCTACGAGCAGCCCACCCGCCGAGCCGCCCAGCAACCGAGCAGCCCAGCCGCTGAGCCGCCGAGCCGCCCAGCAACCGAGCCGCCCAGCCGCCGAGCCGCCCAGCAGCCGAGCCGCCCAGCAGCCGAGCCGCCCAGCAGCCGAGCCGCCCAGCCGCCGAGCCGCCCAGCCGCCGAGCCGCCCAGCAGCCGAGCCGCCCAGCAGCCGAGCCGCCGAGCCGCCCAGCAGCCGAGCCGCCCAGCAGCCGAGCCGCCGAGCCGCCCAGCAGCCGAGCCGCCCAGCCGTCGAGTCGCCGAGCCGCCCTGCAGCCGAGCCGCCCAAACCGCCCTGTCTGGTAAGAGCAGCGCCTCTCTCACAGCACTGCCCTCACCCTACTGTTTGCACTGCTAGTCTACTGCTGTCATGGCTACCCCTAGTGTCCTCGCTTTTGACGCTGAGGGTCGGGCCATTGACTTTGACGTCTGGATAGATGACCTGCAGCTTTTCTTACAGTGCGACAGAGCAGACGTCCTCTCCCTCTTTGACCTCACTTCTGGTGCCTCTCCTGCCCCCGCTGCTGATGCTGACGCCACTGTTCGCTCACAGTGGGCCACGCGCGATGCTGCTGCACGTCTTGCTGTGCGTCGCCACCTACCTACCTCTGAGCGTGCGCACTTTAGCCAGTACAAGAGTGCTCAGACCTTGTACGACGCTGTAGTTGCACGCTACTCCTCCCCTGCCACTGCTGCACTGAGCCGCCTCATGCTACCGTACCTCTTCCCTGACCTTGCTGCCTTTCCCACAGTCGCTGACCTCATTACGCACCTCCGCACTAGTGACACTCGCTACCGCGCTGCGCTTCCTGCTGAGTTCTGCGCCAAGAACCCCCCCCCCATGTACATCACCCTCTACTACATAGTCACCCGTCTCCCTGACTCCCTTCGCGTAGTCAGGGACCACTTCCTCTCGGTTTGTCCCACCACTCTCACCGTTGACCTCCTCGAGAAGGCCCTCCTAGCAGCAGAAAAGAGCATAGTCGCTGTAGGAGCCTCTCGTGGTGACCCTCGCACCCCCATCTTTGAGGGGTGTTCCCCCTCCCCTCTTTTGCCCTCTGTTGCCTCTGCTGCTGCGGCCGACCTCGCTGGTTTGGAGTCGGTTGGGGCAGCGTCTACCCCTAGCGGGAGACGCCGCCCTGGCAGGGGCAAGGGGGGCAGGGGCGCTGGAGGAGCTAGCGGGGGCGGTGGAGGCGGCGGTGGAGGCGGTGGAGGAGGTGGGGGTGGCGGTGGGGGTGGTGGCGGGGGTGGAGGTGTAGGTGGCGGCAGTGGAGGCGCAGGCGGCAGCGGCGGTGGCGGAGGGAGCGGAGGTGGCGGCGGTGGAGGAGGAGGCGGCGGAGGAGGTGGAGCTGGTCGGGGTGGCGCTGCGCAGAGGGTCAGCTCCGGTGGTGGTCAGCGCCAGCAGCAGCAGCAGCAGCAGCAGCAGCGCACTCGTGACGTCCCCTCCCCTCAGCAGCTCCGTGAGTGGTACACTGCACGCCAGAGGGGTTGGGGTACTGGTCCGTGCACCTACGTCCTGCGCACCGGCGACCGCGCGGGTGAGCAGTGCGGGGGTGCGCACTCCACCCAGCGCTGCTTTGGCCGCCTGACGGACGCTTGGCGTCACCAGTTCCCTGAGGCCACTGAGATCCCCCGCTGGGGTGAGCTGTCTAGGGCGGGTGTGGCTGTCTTTGACCTTGACTTTGATGCTATTCTTGCTGCCATGTATACTGTGACTATTAGTGATGAGGGTGACTGTTACCGGTGTTTTCCGCCCGACCCGGGCATTGAGACTGCTGCTCTAGGTCCTGGTGAGGCTGCTGCTCTAGGTGCTAGCGAGGCTGCTGCTCTAGGTGCGTCTGCTCCCTCAGGTACTGGTGAGTCTGCTCTCTCAGGTTCTGCGCCGGCTTCGGCCTCCCACACCTTTACCCTTGACTCGGGGGCTTCTCGCTCCTTCTTTCGAGACCGCACCACACTCATGCCGCTTGACCGGCCAGTTGCGGTCTCTCTGGCAGACCCCTCTGGGGGTCCTGTCCTTGCTCACTTCTCCACTGTCCTCCCGTGTCCGGCGGCCCCCTCTGGCACCCTGTCTGGTCTTTACCTCCCCTCGTTCTCTACGAACTTGGTGAGTGGTGCTGACCTACAGGATGCGGGGGTTCACCAGTTCACTCCTGCGAGTCAGCGGGTGACCCACTGCACGGACGCTCGAACAGGCCGACACCTGGCCACGTTTACACGTCGGCCGGGGTCGAGCCTGTACACACTGACCACTGCGTCTCCTCCGGTCCTCGCGTCTGGTCAGGTAGCTGCGTCGGGTCAGGTGTTTGCTGCAGCGTCCAGGTCTGGTCCTGAGTCTGCCCCCTGCTCGTGTCGCCTCCTGTCTCACGAGACTCTCCTCTGGCACCACCGCCTTGGTCACCCCTCCCTGCTTCGTCTCCGGAGCATGGCCTCCCGTGTCCTTGTCTCTGGTCTTCCCCGGTCCCTCCCTCCCCTTCCTCCGGGGCCTGGCCCTACCTGCGTCCCCTGTGTCGAGGGGCGGCAGCGGGCTGCCCCTCACTCCTCCCAGTTTCCTCCGACAGAGGCCCCGCTGCAGACACTTCACATGGACGTGTGGGGCCCGGCCCGCGTCCGTGGACAGGGTCACGAGCGCTACTTCCTGCTGGTGGTTGACGACTACTCGCGTTACACCACAGTCTTCCCCTTGCGCAGCAAGGGTGATGTCACTGAGGTGTTGATCGACTGGATCCGCGCAGCTCGTCTCCAGCTCAGGCGGAGCTTCGGCTCGGACTTTCCTGTTCTGCGTCTGCACTCTGACAGAGGCGGAGAGTTCTCCTCTGGCCTTCTGCGAGCCTACTGTCGTGCACGAGGCATCAGCAAGACCTTCACGCTTCCGGACTCTCCACAGCAAAATGGGATTGCTGAGCGCCGCATTGGCATGGTCATGGACGTCGCCCGTACGTCCATGATGCATGCGGCTGCCCCCCATTTTCTGTGGCCGTTTGCGGTTCGGTACGCAGCGCATCAGATCAACCTTCAGCCCCGGGTCTCCATGCCGGAGACCTCCCCAGCTTTACTGTGGACGGGGAAGGTTGGCGATGCGTCTGCGTTCCGTGTCTGGGGATCTCGGGCGTTTGTCCGCGACTTGTCTGCGGACAAGCTGTCCCCTCGTGCTGCTCCTTGCGTCTTCCTGGGTTTCCCCCCTGACGCCCCCGGGTGGCAGTTCTACCACCCCACCTCTCGACGTGTTCTGTCCTCCCAGGACGTCACGTTCGACGAGTCGGTCCCCTACTACCGCCTCTTCCCCTACCGTACTCCGTCCCTCCCCCCGCCACCGCTCTTCCTTGTACCAGGTCCCCCCCCGGTAGACCCCGTCCCCCCTCAGGGTCCTGCCCCTTCAGGTGTGTCCCAGGTAGACGCTGTTGAGCCTGTCGAGGTCGCTGGTGACTCTGGTGCTGCTGAGGGTGCTGAGCCTGGGAGTGCTGACTCTGGGGGTGCTGAGCGTGTGGGTGCTACGCCTGGGGGTGCTGAGCCTGAGGGTACTACGACTGGGGGTGCTGAGCCTGGGGGTGCTGAGTCTGGGGGTGCTACGCCTGG